GAGTAAGGATAAGCTAAGTCAAGCTTCACTATAAGTACTTTTTTTGCAAAATTAACTGTACAGACTTTAAAGACTTGAACACAAGCCACAGTGACTAAGAGGTGAGTGAATATTAGTAAGATCATGTGTTGTAAACTGGCGTCCTCTCAAGGGGTTTTGTTTAGAAATCTGTGTGTCTGTGTGTGTGACATTACTAACATTTTGTTAAAGTACATTTTAATGGAGACCAGACCTGAAGAATCCCTGAGCCGACAAAGGCAGTTGGGTTGCAGAAGTGACCTTAGCTTTGGTTGATTTGCAAACACAGCCAAACACGACTTGAGCTATTTCTTGTAAATGCCTACACGGTCCTACAGCAGTCTTTGCCTGTAGGTGTATCCCACAGGGAGTTATTACTCTTTCTGTGGCAATGTCTTGCTCCTCCAACCAGACCGCAGCTTCGTAGAGATAAGGACCATGTTCCAAGTTGTTTGCCAGTAGCAAGAAGTGGGTAAATGTCTGTGTCTCCTCCTCTTATAGCAGAAGTGGTGTCCTCCTCCTATCCACACAGCCCACTCTCTCTCTTTTTTTTTCCTACTGAAAGAGTCTCACTATGTCGCCCTGGGTAGAGCGCTGTGACATCACAGCTCACAGCAACCTCAAACTCTTGGGCTCAAGCGATTCTCTTGCCTCAGTCTCCTGAGTAGCTGGGACTAAAGGCACTCGCCACAACGCCCGGCTATTTTTTTTTTTTTTAAACAGGCCCGGGCTGGGTTCAAACCCACCAGCCCTGGGGCATGTGGCCAGTGCCCTATCCACTGAGCTACAGCCACCACCCCACTCTCTCTTCTTGTCTCCTGATTCTGTCCCCTCCAGGGTCTGACAGACCCAGTGACATTCATCATCCCCACCTCCTTTCCCAACAGAACAATGTTCCTGCTCCTTCCTCTCATCAAACAAGGACAATTTTGTGAGAGTCTCATGCGAAATCATTAAGCATTCACCACGTAGTCCTGATTTGGCTTCTTCTGACTTCATTTTGTTTCCTAATTTAAAAGATCTTCAAAGGGCACCCATTTTTCTTCAGTTAGTAATGTAGAAAGACTTCACTGACATGGTTATAGCTAATATCAAGTGCTCACAAAAGTAACTTGAACCTGATGGAGCTTATATGTTGAGAAATAAAGTCTATACTTTTTATTATTTTTTCATTCCAAACGTTTCCACAAACTTAAGTCCCTCTGAATAATTACCCCTTCTAAAAGCAAGTGTAACTGAGAGTGACTCTATAGGTTTGAATTTAGCAAACAAATGACTTAAGGCAGCTGTGACCTACACCTCAGAAATTTGGGAACATGGTCCCTATATTCTCTATAAATAATTTCTCCTAGAAAAACTCGAAAGGTATTAATTGCTTAAGAAGAAAGACAGAGTCCACCACACTTGAACTGACCAGAGCCATGAACAGCGCCAACAGCCTCTTTCGGCAAGGCCCCCACCCCCCAAACAGGGCCCCATTGTGACAGCATGCTCCCTGCCGGTGACCTGGACTTGCTTCACTCACCTCAGGGAATTTCTTTTTCTGCACATATTCAGTGGTGGCAGCGTCAAAATATTTGGCATAGCCCTCATTGAGGCTGTAAATCTTTCCTTTCTTCTTAATCTTGACATCTTTTTCCACCAGGACAAATTCACCAAGTGCCTAGAAGGAGGAAGAGAGACAGGAGGAACCAGGGAGGTGCCAGGAAGCAGAAGCCAACAGCACACTGCACAGCACCCAGGGCCTGCTGGAGGAACCGGGCTTGGCTGTGGCCATTCTGGAGCTGGCCCAGTGGTATTTTCATGAATGGCAGAATGGACAGTGATAATCTGGAGCCTACACAGAAGGCTCAAGCAGTCATATCATGAGGGGTAAAAGAATTCAAAGCAGAGAGGACCGGGGTGTCCTTTCTTTCCTTTCTACCTTCCACTGGCAGTGAGGTCCCCTCACCTACAAGGACCCTGACTGTACTTATGTCCCAGTTCCTCATTCCTGGATTAATGTTTTCAGGAGAATTTGGGCCATCAGCAATGAGAGGAAGAAGTTACATCAATGCATGAAGGATGCTTGTTTTCCATTAAATTGTGGGTCAGCTATGCGGTTTAATGATTCCATTTTGGAAACCACTAAAATCTCTTTATCCCAATACTCTTACCTGGGGGAAAAATTCCTTCAGTCAGAAACTGGGTTCACAGGGCATTACGACCAAGGTAGTAAAATCTAAAGGCATCCTCAGACTTGTTAATAAAATTGTACCAAGGGCCCTGCAGTCCCTGAGGGTCACACGGTCAACACCTGCAGGGCAGCCCTCCAGTACCCCTTTATCTAGTTCTGGTGGTAGCAGCCTCTAAGGATGTGGTCAGCTAGCTACAGATGTCACCTTAAATGCTGGTGACTCTCTAAGTCACTAGGAGGAACATCAGGGCCTGGAGCCCAGATCTGTTTTGATGACTGTCAAAGACTTTAAGAAAATCAGAAACTCCCCAGATGACAGCTCACAGCTGGCAGCTAGAGCATAAGGTTCCCCAGGAACAGTGAAAACACTTCCAGAATGGAGAGAGGCAAGGCCACTCTGACCATGTCTGAAATAAGACAATGACAAAGACACTCAACAACCAAAGAAATCACTAAACATTCCTCTTATCTGCCTAATATCAGTGATGACTGCTCCTTCACCCAATGAATCTCTACTCTCACTTTCATCTTCCTGCTTTCTAAATAAAAATTGTTAAGATGTCTAATCATTAATTGTACCCACTTCCAAGTGACAGCCAATCCAGAAGAGATCCTCTCTTCCTAAAATCCTTGGAATCATCAAACCAATACCCAGGTGTCGAATAAGGCCATGCAGGCTCCTTCTCAGCACAGTGCCCCGGGTTCCTCTGGGGGGCGTCCCCCTGACCCAGTGAGCCCACCTTCTCTTTATTATAGCTTTGCTCTCAATAGTCTTCAGTTCATGGGCTTTATTAACTTGCTGTGGACTTCTGTTGCCTGGAGCAGTCCAGCACTGATTCCACTTCTGAAAAGCACCCTGACTTCCACTGAAGAATTAGCTCTTTTCATGGATGCCAGTCTAGGAAGACTCATGTATGGGCCTCTTCTAGGCCAAGGTCAGGCATGTGACTCCTACTAAAAATTAGATACTCTTCCTTGGTGATTGAAACCTGAGTGTGAAACACAGAACTTGTGGTGTCCAGACCAGACTGGCCAGGCTGTGAAACCACTCCTGGCTCACAGGAGTGAGCTTTTGGGCCCTCCAGACCTGCCCATGTCCAGTCTGGGTCCCCAACATCATTATTTGAGCAGGGTCTATTTCTCTCTTGCTTTTCACCAAAGAGCCCGGAGGATGTACAACAGTCATCTAAACAGTGGTAGTCACCAGCCCGTCTGCATGGAGGGGTCCATTCTGCATCACTGTAGGACAGAAAGGCCTGATTATCCACCCCTGGGCTGCACGTGGGGACTCTCCAGCTCCTAGAACTTCGTTTCCTATTGTACTGGGAGTGATGCCTTACTACATTCTGGAAAATACGTCCCTTGGCTCCCACTGTGTGACCATCAACAACCACTGACGATTAACATGGCCCCCACACACTTTGGTAAAAGGCACCCGATCCTTGTCACTACAAAGCAGTATCTCCATTTGTAATGAGCACCTTGACATTGAGTCTCCCCTCCATGGAGAGTGTGGTGAACAGGAAGTAGCCCCTCTGTACCTGCACACGACGTGTGTTCTGATATCAGTTTATGAGCCCAGCAAGCCCACAGGTCAGAC